TTTTTTTTTTTTTTTTTAAGTTTTGAATCGTCCCGTGTAATTTTGGTGTACCGGCCCGCTATGAAAAATATCGGTCATATATCGAAATTTAACCGAAAAAATTAGAATTTGACCAAAATAAATTTTGACCACGTACCATTTTGGTTTAATTAAAAAACCAATACATACCGTCCGGTACAACCGGTACGAAAATGGATTGGTTAAAACCCCGATTTAGTCCCTCAACTTTTATTTTTGAACTAAAAATACCCTCAAACTAAAAAAAGTACTAAAATAATCCCTAAACTTCAATTTTTGGAACCATTTTAGTCCTTCCGTCGACGAAAGTGCCAGGTGGCACGTTAAGTTGCCACGAAATCAATTATTGTTTGAAATATTTAATTACATGGAAAATAACTTATTATCCACGTCATTTTAATTAATTTATATATTAAAAATTTTAAAATTTCTTAAATACCCCCAATCAACACCGATTATCCCTCGTTACTCCGATCATCTCTTTCTACTCCAATCACCATCTCCTTCTTCCCCAACCCTCCCAAACCTCCTCTCTGAAACCCAAATCTGTAAACTTATACCAAATTTATAAAAATTCAACAAATTAATCACATTGCAAACTTATACCAAATCTGTAAAAGAAAAGAAAAATGCAAAAAACGCAACAGCCCCTTCAATCAACACCAACCGTAACTGAACCTTGAAATTCAAGCAAGCAAAACCTATATCAAAACTCTAAATCCATACCAAGATAGTCAAGCATCACTGCAGCCAACAAAGAAACAGAAGAACAAAGAAATAGAAGAACAAAGAAACAGAAGAACAAAGAAACAGAAGAAAAACCCAGGCGTGTTCGACTCGAACCCGCGCTTGGGTTCCTCGAACCTAGGCGCCTGGGTTCGAAGGAACCTGCGCCTGGGTTCCTTCGAACCCAGTAGGCAGGGAAGGAGAAAAAAAGAAAAAGAAGGGAAAAAAGAAGATAAGGGTATTTTGGTAATTTCAAAAAATATAAAAAATTAAAAATAAAGGATAATTGTGTAATTTTAAAGATAAAATGCCAACTCATACACTTTTTACATGTGGTTTTTCCATGTCATTAGTTGAAAAAAAAAGCTTGATTTCGTGGCAACTTAACTTGCCATCTGGCACTTTCGTCGACGAAAGGACAAAATTGATCCCAAAAATTGAAGTTCAAGGATTGTTTTAGTACTTTTTTTAGTTCAAGGGTATTTTTAGTTCAAAAATGAAAGTTGAGGGACTGAATCGGGGTTTTAACCAAATGGATTTCACAACTTTGCTTGAACCCCCTCATGTTGCCATGTCTCAACTCAAAACCATGAACGGATAAATACCAGTTTCTTACTTTTAATCAAAATAAAAATAAAAAATTGGAAGCTAGTCTTACTTTTCTTTCTTCATTGTTCGCTCTAAAGCTTCTAGCTTGTAGAGCCTTCTGGTGGGTTCTTTTGCCTATTGTTCCAACATCTTAATCCGGTTTTATTGCTATTTCGGCAAATTTCTTGCCCATTTCCTTTCATTCTTCACCTTCTGTTTTTCTACAAACCCCTTGATTTGGTGATTTCTTAGTTTCTTTTGTCTTCTCTAACCTCTTCTCTTCTTCCCTTCTTTCTTTCTCTCTTTTTCAATTGCAATTTCCTTCCTCCAGTGTTCTTGTGAGTAAAAATGCCTTTCACCCGACGCAGATCGAATCGGAGTTTCCTTTGTTCGCCAACTTATTCTTCAACTTTTGTGCTTGCCTTCTTGTTCTCTACTAAAAACCAGATCTATCTTGTGGTCTTCATGTTAGTGTCTACAATCGATAGAAAGTGGGTTGGATTAATCCACGGATTCCTTTGCGCACACACCCAACAAAAATTTTTTTAATTTTCAAAAAAAAGAAAAAATCAATTTAGAGGCATAGTTTAAAATTTCCATGTCTATAAATCAAACTAAAATAACTGAAATTTTTAAACAAAAATATCAAATTGATAAAAGAATCAACCCAAATTTTGGCCTCCTTTTTCTCCCACTGGACTTGTTAATATAAAAAAAAAAAAAGAAAAAAAAAAAAGCAAAGAGAACACTCTGGTAAAACAATCGAAACTTCTGACAGTGATGAGATCGAAAGGCCCATTTCTCTTTGTAGCCTTCTTAAGGGTCACAATTCACCAATTTGCTGAGCATCAATAATTTGGGAGTCGTTAGAAGAAAAGATGAGTTGATAAAAAAAATCTAAAATAAATGAAGTCAATTTTTTACATTGGAAGAGAAACCGTTTGTAAAGGTTGTCGGTTTTGATTTCAGACATGATAATAACGTGGCAGCACGAGGGACTCGAGTGTCCGAAGTGAGTGACAAAGGCGAGTGCCCTTAGCACTGCTCAATAGAGGATCGGCGATTTGGTTACAAAGAGAGAAAAGTGGAGATTGGGTCGTTAAAGAGGAGAAGGGAATCGGTAAAAAAAACCCTAGTGGGGGTAAATTTGTAAAACGAAATTAATGTAACCTTAATTTACTAAAACGTTAATTATTTAGGAGCAATATTTTTTCAGTCCAAAGCGACTAATATTAAGGAACATTTGGAGTATTTATTCAGAAAAGTGACCATGGAAACTGGAAAGTGCGCTGTAGGATGAGGTTTTGTCTGATTAAACTTGGCAAAGTGGAAAACTGAGGAAAGAAAAAGATGAAGATCTCTATTATTGAAAATACCGAGAGGCTATGGGATTTATGGAACATCAGAGCATTCATTATTCTAAGCCTCTCCCTGCAAGCTTTCTTAATTCTGTGTGCACCGCTAAGAAGAATAACATGGAGAAGATGGGGAATATTGCTTTGGTCGGCATACTTGCTCGCAGACTGGGTAGCCACCTTCGCCATCGGAACCATCTTAAGCAACGAGAGGAAAAGTGATGACAGAAGCAGTGACATCCAGGTGTTTTGGGCACCCTTTCTACTGCTGCACCTCGGGGGCCCAGACACCATTACTTCCTTTGCTCTTGAGGATAATGAGTTTTGGGTGAGGCACCTGCTTGGGCTTGCATTGCAGGTTGGTTCTACGCTCTATGTCTTCATCTTGTCCCTCCCAGAGAACAAGCTGTGGCTCCCAACCATCCTAGTGTTAATTGCAGGAATAATCAAATATGCAGAGCGGAACCGTGCCTTCTATCTCGCAAGCTTTGACCATCTTGGAGGCAATTGGGTGGCCAGCAAGTGGGGAGATGGAATTCGAATTCCAGAACAATTCCAAAAGATGGACAGCCAGGTAACTTTGGATATTGGTTCCAGGTCAAAACTGTGGAGTGCAGTTCACTACTTTGGCAGTATCAAGATGACACTTGTAGGTCCTTTTTTAACTCAAATTCAATGCTCTGATATCAGAGACAGCTTTCTCCAAGAAAAGGCAGATGATGCACTACAAATAATGGAGATTGAGCTAAGCCTCTTGTATGAGATGCTCCATACCAAGTTGCCTGTGGTTGATTGCAAGACTGGATATGTCTTCAGGGTCATAAGTCTGGTTTGCATTTTGGGAGCCTTGTTGTCATTCTCATTACTTAGGAAGCACTATGAGCTGTTTGACATCTTGCTTACCTATGGGTTGCTGGTCGGGGGCTTCGCGTTGGATTTGATATCTTTCATCTTGCAGTACTGCCGCTCCGATTGGGTACTTGTTGCTCACTTGCAAAAGAAGGAAGGTGAATTCATTGACAGGAAAAGGTGGTCTAAGGTAGTTTCCCAGTTAAATTTTATTACTTATCATTTTAAGGATAGTCCATCTGGGTTGAAAAATGTTGCTGATTTTCTTTACATGAGGAGTTTGTTGGAAGCGATTAGGGGATTACGATGTCTGTCCTCCGAAAAATTTGGAAACCAAGAATGGTGCTTCATTTTCGAGGAAGTGAAACAAATGAATGAGTTTTTAAATCAAAAACTGAAAGAGTTGTCTAAGACTGTACTAGAGGCCACGGAAGTTTGGTCATTCAGCCTTGAACGAGTTCTTCAGAAATTTTCTAACGAACTGATCATCCAGATCACCAAGGACTTGCATCACACGGAAAGCATTCTAACATGGCATATAGCGACTGAATTATGCTACCGAGACGACCAAGCGCCTAATGAGGACAAAGAAATATGCAAGAAATTTTCAGATTATATGTTCTATCTTGAAATAATGCAGCCCACTATGATGGCAGCCGCATCAGTCAACTGGAAAATGGTATTTGAAGAAACATTGCAGCAGACCGAGTCATTTGTAAGAAGGAATTCAATGTCAGATGAACAAAACGCTAGCAGAAAATTCCTTGAACAGGACAAGATCAAAATGAGAAGAAGAAAAAATATCCTTGAAGGGAACTCTGTGTTATATTCTGCAATTGTGCTTGCCCAAGAGCTGAAGCAGTCGGACGGTACTTATCCATGGGAGTCAACGAGCAAAGTTTGGGTACAACTAATGTGCATTTCTGCTATTAATTGCAGGCCAAGTGTACATGCACAACAACCAAGTAAGGGCGGTGAACTTCTCACATTCGTTTGGTTGTTGATGAATCACATGGGGCTCGGAACTCACTTTTCAACCCATTACTAGGATTATTAGTGACTTTCATGATCATGAAACTGTTCACCAAAGTCTGATTCTTGTATGTATGTGTTTACACCTAAAATAAACCAATAAGGTAAAGCCACGTGTCAAGGTAAAGCCCAATTATCAAGAAAATCAATAGGCTGGATTTGGGCTGGGTTGACTTACAATTTAATGGCCCAGACGGATTTCAAAGGAGGTTGGATCTTAGGTGGTAGAAGATAAGATTGGATCTGGTGGTTTGAGTTTGATTTGAAATGAAAAATTGAGGGTTTTTAGGTAGTTATCTTTTAAGGATGTTGGAGATAAGAGTAAATAAAATTATTGGATAACTGTCAAGTAATTGCCAAACCTGCAACCCTACTACCAGATCATGGAGGAACAGTACCGAAAATCATGGAGAAAGCCACCAACACCGGAGAGAACAAAAACAAGGAGGAGAGAATAGTTACAGGCTTGCCCAACACACATATAGACTATCCAAAGCATGTTTTTCAGCTTTCAGACTGCATTTTCCAGCTTTCAGACTGCATTTTCCAGATTTCAGCAATAGTTTCCAGATTTTCTAGATTAGTTTATAGCCTTAGCCTAGGTTTGTTCATTTTTGTTCATATTTTCTTCTGCAAATTCCAATTTAGATTAGTTTATAAGCATTTGGAAGCAACTTAGCCTTCAAAACATGTTTGCCCTTTTGATTCGATTAGTTTTTCTTCCTTTTATGGATTTAGTTATGTTATTTGTTCATGTAAATAAGTTGAACATTTTCTAACTTTGTTCTTTTGTCTCTGCACAATATCCAGACATACAGTTTATTTAATTTCAATTTCCAGATTTAATTTTATAAGTTTCCAGACTTTAATCATTTCATAATTTCTTCTTTAGTTTTAGTTATCAAGTAGTTTAGTTATTTTTATTTTAATTCTGCTAGTAATTAGTTTAATCATTATGGGCTGCGTAGTTGAAATCATTGTCTGTTATTTCACTTTTTCTGTTGTCTGCGAATTTAATCTTCATGGCATGTTATTTTCTGTTATTTACTTCATGTTAGTTTAATTGCCTTTGCATTTATTTTAGGATTTGTAGCTTTTATTACACTTGTTTGGTTGTGAAGTCCTTGGAAGTTTCCAAGGCAATTAGTAACCCATTTTGCAAAACTCTACCCTTTGTTTTGCAACATCGTCTGTGGCGTAATTCATTTCACAGACGTTCTTTCTAACCATCCTATTGTCGTCTAGAAAATCCTATTTTCTTGTTTTTAGACAAAGCAAGTGGCACGCCTAATAACCAAATTCACGTGGTAAAGGCCAGCTGAGGATTTTTGGGAAAACAGTATGTCTTTCTTTGTTAGCTACTGCTACAATATATGTTTAGTGCATTTGGGTTTTGTATCTTCGATTCAGTAGTTCATTCGATCATGTTTAATTGTATTTTTCAACAGATTTTTCATTTGAATTATTTCCTATTCTCCTCGAATTCTGTCTTTCATGTTTGTATTTATGTTTATAACCTGAATGCAAAATTTTTTAATAGGAAATAAAAATCATATTAAAGATAAAAGAGAGATTATATATGTATCTTTAATTCACATTTAAAGTTAGAAGTTAAACAATACCACTAGATACAGTTGAAAACTATAGGTTAAATACTTTTTTTGGTCCTTCTATTATTAAAAAAAAAAAAATCCTTTTTTATCCCTATATTGAAAAAATTCCCTTTTTAGTCTAGCCCCTAAAGAATAAATTTTGGCCCATTTTTTATCCTTCCGTTAAATTTTTTGACAAGTGACAGTTAATTAACGGAATTGTGTAATATAAAAAATCCACTTTATAAAAAAAAATGATGTGGATATATTTTTTAGTCTATGTTAGCATCTTCACCTTTCTAGCTTTTTTTTTTTTTTTTTTTTTTTTTTAGCCTTTGCTAGGTTCGTCCTAGGTTCGCAATGAACCTAGGCGTGCACTTGGGTTCACGACGAACCCAACAAAGGTAAAGGAGAAGGGTA